CTCCTACTGGTGGCAATTTGTTGATATTTGAGCTACAAGTCAAATTCTAAGATCGTGCCTTACATAAACGGACTGTCAGGAATCGTGTAGTGGTAATATGACCAAGTGACCACCAGAGGGAGCTGTGTCTGTTCATCATAACAGTGTTTTTCAAACTTTTTACTGGGGACCCATATTTTAAAAGGTCACAAACCTTCACGACCCAATTGTTATTCGTAAATCACAAAATAAAGGTGAATTTGACCATTTTATTGTTGACTGAGTGTCTTTCTGAACAATTAGTAGTACAGTACTAAGTTTTAAACAATGAAAAACAGTAATTGAATCAGCAATAAAAGGTCTCCATAAGTCGCCTAGTTGGACATTAAATGTAGCCTGTTTCTTTTTCTTTTCAAACATTCAATTGAATCAACAATATTGGAACAAAATAGTCAATAAAATAATTACAAAAAGATTAGAAATTATACAAAACACGTTTTAACATTTCAGCATGTGTCAGAATTGTATATTGCAGACCTACATGCAGATCATGACAAGGGGACCCGATTTTAGTGATCCACAAGAGAAAATAATATAGGAACACTTTGGCTCACACATCACAATATAATATAATAACAAGGAGAAAAATGTAAACAGTAATAATACATTCTAAATAAGTAGCAAAAAGATAGCAAGAGACAGGTGTCACACAAGGCATAATTATATAAATGTAAATGGACAAGTCAAAATAAAATAGAAAAATAACTAATAAAGTACAAAATCTCAGCTATACAAGTAATAATATAATAGTATAATAGTAATAACATAATGTAATGAAATAAGTATTATTCATCTATGGAAGATAATTTGATCTATTACATTTAGAATTTTACATATGACTGAATTTCTCAGTTTGAAATTTTTAACTCTGGAAAAAGATGTTTGAATTATTTTTATTTATTTTTAATAATTTTTAAATTAGCAGCTAAAATTTAAAGTGTACTTTTTCAATAGGTTTCAAATTCAAAACAAAAATTTCATCTTTTAAATAGCACAGATATTTTCAAGCCCTCAAATTCAACTGTCAAAATTATGAGTGAAAAATTTCACAACAAAGATCCAAAATGCCAAGGCGGAAGCAATCGATCCTGTTTGAGTTAGGAGGACAGAGGCTGTTTCCTATTGGCTGTACCCATCTCTGGGCGGGATTTACGCTTAAGAATTAAAAGAGATGAGGTTTTCATTAAGATAATTCTGACCAATCAGATCGGTTCACTGCACTATTTCCTGCTTGTTACTAAGTTAGATTGGATAATTTTGGATCGATTGCTTCTGCCTTTGCATCTTGGATCTTCGTTGCGAATTTTTTTCAATGCGAATTTTACACAGATTTTTAAAATATTGAATTTGAATTGAATTTTTTCTTTGAAAATGAACACTTCAAATTTCAGTAACTAAAATTCAGAATAAAAATAATTCAAACCTGTTTTTTCAGCATAAAAAAAATTCAAAGTCAAAATCTGAAACAAATTATCTTTCATATTCATCCCGTTGTGTTTTTTAGCCCGTTACTTTGCTCAAGAGGTTGTTGAAACTTTCTCGTGGCAATTTTCCTTTGTATGTCACACGCAGTATATCATATCAGTATAGTATATCATAAAGTCTTATCAAAGTCAGTGGGAAAATCAAATGAACAAATCCGTGGGATCCGAACAAACCTGGCAACCCCCAAACAGGAAGTGATTCTCTCCCTCCCGATCTGGCGGGTAATTCACAGCTGCGCCAATGTTTTGGTTTTGACTTTAGCCTCGCAGATGATTTTAACATTTATAAAAACAGTGGGATTTATCACCACAGAAACAAACGAGCATAAGATCTGAAATAATTTATTGAAACAAGGATCATACATTTTATATTTGGAGTGATTTTTATTTTCGCCACAGCTTTCAAACACTATTACAGGATCAACATGAAGGCTGATATGGATAAAATAGTTTCACTGTCGGATAAAGACAGTATTCCTGAACTACAAAAGTACCTCTCCTCTCTTATGGATGACCAGGTAAATATTGTTAGTATGAATTTCCAAAACCAAAACTTGTGTTTGTGCCCTGGTTGTGTAATTCTCTGTTATTACATTTTCTCTTATTAGTTAGTGACAGTCATTACAAACAGCGCTCTCAAGGGGAAGATGGTTGGGACTATGATTAAAAGCATATTTAAAGGTGAGACACCTGTTTTATTATCAGATAAGGTTTGGTTATCTTGTATAAAGCTGAGATTTTATATTTTATTACTTATTTTTCTATTTTATTTTGACTTGTGCATATACATTTACATAATTATGTCTTATTTAACACCTGTCTCTTGCACTTTTTGCTACATATTTAGAATTTATTATGACCATTTATATATTTTTTCTCCTTGTTATTATATTATATTGTGATGTGTGATCTGCTGTGTCTAAATAATTTCCCTTGTGGGTCAATAAAGTTTGTCTAAGTCTAAGTTGTATATACATTTAGGGTTGATAGGCTATTTTCATATTTATGTTATTTATTTATTTATTATTTTTTTTGTTATGTAACATACTGTACCTGGAGTTGTGTTTTGTTTCATTCGCACATATTTAACGCACAACATACCCTGCATATTTAGGCCTAGTTCTACTCTCTAGATTAAAACACTCTCATTTAGTTGATTTCACCCCTGAAATTGCCAATCTCTACTGAACTAAAGCTGTTAACTTAAACTACCTCTTCATGACATCACAAGGTGGAACAGAGCATTTTGAGCTTTGGAGATGTAGACTAATAATAAAGGATTTCTCAGACATGTGTGACTGAAACAAAACACAACTCCAGGTATGTTTTTGATGAGTTAAGAACATTATAACATGACTTAAAACTCACAAGAATCAATTTAGTTTAATATGGGACCTTTAAACTAAACTGGCTTTTGACACCATTCATTTTATTATATTCCATAATCTGTTTGTCTTCTAATTTTAAGGGTCCCCTCCCAGTTCCACTGAAGGGTCCAAAAGGAGACTTCTGTTGTACCAACACTATATAACTCTGTGTGAGTCTGGGGACCTACAGACCGAGGTGGCGGCTGATATCATAGGATTGCTCATGTTAGAGGTAAAAAGCCTTGTATCATTGCAGTGCAGTCCAGCAGTGGAACATAACGAAATAAAAGTAAAAGTACTGTACTCAAGTATTTACTTATCTGTGCTTAACTAAAGTAGATTTTAAAGTGGGTATCTGAGAGCAGGTGCCTGTACTTCCTACTCCACTACTTTTTTAGCAGGACTGAAAAGTAAAAGTATTTTTCATTATTGCGAAGAAGTAGATTGTAGTTAGAGTGCTCTCTGGATCACCACTGAAGTGAAATAATAAAGATCAGGTGCTCTTCGGAGATCCCAAGTGGGCAAATGACTTACTGGATGAAAAAAGGAGATCCGAGGCACTCCAATATACTTCGCTATGATTTTATTTAATGTCAGACACCCAATGTGTTTCGACTTGCATCTTCATCAGGGAACTATTTTTCATTATTGTCTGAGACCTACTGAAAATGCTAAGGGGTTTATTTTTGATCATGTTCCTTGTTTGAGCAAACAAAAATATACAAATAACAGATAGGAAAAAAATATTGAACTACTAAACAAAATTCAGCACAAATCTTTATCAAAATCATCACATTTGAAGCTTTAATAGATCTCAAAACCAGCGTGAAATACTATTACTCTTTACTGTTTAAGTACATTTTTAAACAGGTACTTTAACCCTTTTACTTAAGTAGTACTTTTCTCTGGTATCTGTACTTTTACTTAAGTAACAAAACTGAGTACTTCTTTCACCACTGCAGTATTCTACCTGGTTTGTTTACCACTCTACCAAGTTTTATTTTGTATCCGCAGACACATTTGCTGCCTGGACCCTCCCTTGTCCAGCTTGCTAATCTTTTTGTTGAAGCTATTAAAGTGGGAAAGATGGGGAATGGAAAGTCACTGGAGCTTTTCCCTACTGTGCTCACTGCCCTTTCAGCTTGTGAAGTTGTAGCATATGGCAAAGGTAAGAAGTCATTGTACTTTTAAATCTGTTCAAAATGATAACACAAACACAATATAATAAATAAGAAAATATGTTAATATGTTTTCTTACCCAATGAATTTAGGTGAACTAAGTGGTGAAGAATACAAAAAGCAACTGATCAACAGCCTTTGTTCAAGCAGGTATGTACTTGTATGAACTTATTGATCATGAGTTTGACCATTTCTTTCAAAAACAATAATTTTCCCATAAAGCTACATAGACTCTTGTCCTCCATTTGAATTATATATATCATTATAATATCAAATTCTACAGTATGAATGCAACCTGTAGTTATTTTGTAAACTTGACTACATCTATAAATCAAAATGTGGTAACTATCCCACTGACTGAAAAAAAATCTCCCAAAGTGTGTTATGTTGTTATGTTGTTACCTTTGGCTTTACAGGTCCTATATTACACAAAATTGACTCTTGAGCGCTTTTAGTCTTTACCTGCTCAAAAACATACCTGCAGTTGTGTTTTGTTTCATTTACACATGTTTGAGTAAGTCTTTATTAGTTTGTCTACATCTCCAAAGCTCAAAATGCTCTGTTCCACCTTGTGATGTAGTCAGGATTCCCATGATCAGGGAAATCCTGGAAAAGTCATGGAAATGGAAAATGTCATTTCAAATGTCAGGTCATGGGATTTTGTAAATTCAATGAAAATCTTGGAAAAGTTATGGAATTTTAGTATCTCTTTCACACAACTACAGCATTGTGTTAAGTTTTCATTAGACTGTTATACCGTATTTTGTTTATAAGAGACGACAACAAATGCACTGACAGTATTTTGAATGTTAAAAAACTATAATACTAAACCATAAGGTGAGTAGAAATGGTTAACATTTCATACGTAAAGTCATGGAATATTCACTTTAGGTCATGGAAAGTTTTGAAATTTTGTCAGTGAAAAAGAGTGGGAACCCTGTGTAGTGGTAGTTTTCATGTTAACAGCTACCCTTTACGTTTAGGTCAGTAAGATCAGCAATTCCAGGGCTGTAATCATCCAGATTATTCTAGTAAAGGTGTATGGGGTTTAAAAACACAGTGGAGCACTTCCTGCGTTACCACATGACATCACGAGAGTTTTCAACTCTCTTATAACATAGACCAGAGAATAGTAATATGGGCCCTTTAATTATATGTACTGCATTTTCATACAGATGGGACCCACAGTGTGTTATTCACCTCACAACTATGTTCAGGTAAAAAAATATATACATATAGTCCTGTACCAAAGCATAATTTAAATCAATTTCCTCACATTTTTGTCTCATTCTAGAGATGTGCCTTTATCACCTGAGGAGCTGAAATTTGTGGTGGAGAAAGTGTTAAGAATGTTCAGCAAACTGGATTTACAAGAGGTCCCTCCCCTCGTTTACCAACTTCTTCTTTTATCTGCAAAGGTTTGTGTGTCTTTTTGAAAAACATATGAAGAGATATGCATTCATTTTGTAGTTTTCTTGTGATTTTTATAAGTTTTGTGTTTATTCAGGGGTGTAAGAAACAGATCTTGGATGGAATCGTGAGTTACTTCAAAGAACAAGACCAGAGCCTAGAAGAAGAGCAAAAACGTGGACAGTGAGTTACACCAAAAACTTTTGAAGGTTCACTGTGCAACTTTTCTAGTGCAGGGTCCACTACCTACTTGTGTCCAAAGAGATATTATTGCTTCACCTGGAATGTTCCATGATATGACATTAAACATATCCATCTAGCATTTATTCATTACAGGTGTTTCTATTCCTTCTGTGAATAGGGGTGACTCTCCACAGATCTGAACTGTCTAACTTGAGAAATTTAATCTATACTGTGGAACAGTCTAGACAAAGCAATAACATTTCCCTCCACTAGAAATGTTACGCAGTGCACTTTTAAAACCAATTAATGATGACTAATTGATTAAAATGATAAATATTTGTTTTTCAGGAGCCTTGACCTAGAATTTGAGTCTATTCCCCAGGATCAGTTAAGGCATGTGGAAGGCACCATTATCCTCCATATTGTTTTTGCCATTCGGCTCGACCATGAATTGGGAAGAGAATTCTTGAAAACTTTTAAAGTAAGCCACATGATACATTACTTTTTAAAGGTCCTATATTACGCAAAATTAACTCTAGTGAGCTTTTGGCCATGTTAAAATGTTGTTTCCTCCTCAAAAACATACCTAGAGTTGTGTTTTGTTTCATTCGCACGTTATATTAACCCAGATTTATTAGTTTGTTTACATCTCCAAAGCTTAAAATGGTCCGTTCCACCTTGTGATGTCATGAAGCAAGCAAGTTAACGGCTACCTTTTAACTTTAGTTCAGTAGAGATTGGCGATTTCAGAGCTGAAATCATCCAAATGTGTCTAGTGAAGGTGTATGGAGTTTAAAAACACAGCAGAGCACTTTCTGTATTACCACATGACATCACAAGGTGGAACAGTTTGAGAGAATAACTCAGCAGGGTTTGTGAGTTAAATGTGCAAATGAAACTACACAACTCCAGTTATTTTTTTGATGAGGAAACAACATTATAACAGAGATCAGAAAATAGCTTAATATGAACCCTTTAATTAAACTGTTGACCTTTTTTCAGACTTCCTACACCGACATGTGTCCTTTCAGTGTGGCTTTGTTACTTTCTGTTGCTCGTATTCAGCGTTATGAGGAACAGGTAAATAGAATATTATCACGTGACTCTGTAGTTTATATTATATTTTATTTATTATATTAATCTGGCTGTTTAGGTGTTCGACCTGTTAAAGGGCGCAGTTATCAAAAGCTTCAAGGATGAGCAGTTGCAGCAGGGCTCAAAGATTCTAAAGGATCTTTTGCCTCCACACCGCAGTGTGTCACAGATGATCCTGGACACTGTCAAAAACAGGTCAGTGCTAATATCTTACTTAGTTAATATTTCATAACTACATTTTGGACTTAAACATAGGATTGGATAAGGTGGTGTAAAAATTATGACATGACCTCACTGAATTTTCAACATCATGCTTTGCCAGTTTTCTCTTGCTCAAACAATGACACTTTTACACACACACTAAGTGCGTTTGAACTGTCATAAAAATTAATTATTGAATTATTATGTAGTTCCAAGATAATCAATATGTATTTTTGGCATATCACCAACCCCTAATTCAGCACATGTATTCAACCTCACATCTTACTATGTGTCGTTTTATGTATTTTACTGTGTTTGTGTGTGTTTTTGTGCGTGCGTGTGCGTGTGTGTGTGTTTGGGTTGTCTGGTTGTGTGGGGTCGGGCAGGTGTGGGTGTTGGGTAAGTGGGTGGGTGGATGGAAATGTGGGATTGTTTTTAATCACTGTAAAGGACTTTGTGTTACAGTTTTGTATGAAAAGTGCTTTATAAATAAAATTTGATTTGATTTGATGACAAATAAATGGGGTATAATGAGGCACAAATCCACAAGAATTGGAGAAGGAGACAAGATGACATTTTGAAAGATTTGTGGTATATAAATTGTCAAATCCAAGTCAAAATTTCGGCGCACATTTTTTGATTTATTCTATTTAACACTTAGTTGTCATTACCGTGCTGTGTTTTGAACCTTCAGCTCTCAAGAAACTGTAACTCAAAAGCACTTTTTTTTTTTTTGAGTACAATCCAAATGTAAACACAAGGAAAGGAAATGTCACAAGATCATTTTCCACATGTGTGCACAGTCTTGTCCCACCCTTATAAATAAATTTATATTATTTATCTCCTTGTCCAGTGTGTTTGGTTGGGACCATGTGACCCAGGGCCTGGTTCAGCTCGGTTTCTTTCTTATGGACAACTTTGGACCGAAGCCTGGACCATTTGGAAAGGCTGCAGAGAGTTCTGCTTCTTTAGCCAGGACTCCAAACCAGCAAGCCTGCAAGCTGGGCGGGCAAGTACTCCTCCTGGGATTCAAGGTATTATATAACTTGATTCATTTTCTAAAACAGACATGTCAAACTCAGGCCCAGGGGCCAAATTTAGCATGTGATGTAATGATATTTGGCTCGCAAGATCATATCAAATATATATTAGAGCTGCCCGCCGGCTACAGACAGGCTATAGAGACATTATTTATTTAAAAATGTATTATTATTTATATTATGTGTGTTCTGGATTCAGTGTTTAAGCAAAACTATTATTAAACATTTATTTTAATAAGAAAAGAAGAGAAAACATGCAGATGTTGTTGAAATTATTCAGTAAATATTTAGTTTGGCCCACAGTTTTAAATTTTAGCCCTCAATTTGAGTTTGACATCCCTGTTCTAAAATATACACTACCAGCCAAAAGTTTAGACACACCCTCTCATTCATTCAATTGTTTTTTTTTCTTTATTTTTACTTCTTTCTACATTTTATATACATAAGATATGTGGAATTATGTAGCAAAGACAAAAAGGTAAATAACTCTAAACGCAAAATATTTGTAGAGGTTTTTTTTTTTTTTTTTTTAACTTTATTTTTACGACTTTCTACATTTTAGATAAATATGAAAGACATTCAAATATATGAAGCAAGATATATGGAATTATTTAGTAAAGGAAAAAAGTTAAAATAAATAAATATTTCTCAGCAAAGCAAAGGGTGACTTCTTAGAGGATTTGGTTATGTCTTTTGTGTGTATATAAAATGGAGAAAGTAGTAAGAATCAAGAAAAACACTGAATGAGAGGATGTGTCCAAACGTTTGACTGGTAGTGTATTTTAAAATGTTGTATGCTGTTTTTTTCCTCATGTACTTTGTTACTGAAGTTTGTGTACCCTCGCCAACAGATGCACGAGCCGCTGAGAGGTGAAATCCTTGAGCAGGTTCTCAATCGACTCGTCACGAAAACTGCTTCGCCTGTAACTCATTATTTAGGTAATGAAACTATTGACACTTTGAAATGCTGGGGGTGTTCTACATGTATCTGTATGGTGAAATGTTTAGCAGTTACCATGGTGACACAATGCACACATTAGGAAACACTGTCAAAACTCTAAACAAAAAATACAAGCTGGATTTAAACAACACATTTTCAGGAGCCTTAGGTATTTTTTACACTTAAACTTAGACAAATTTTATTGATAATTTAATAACAAAGAGCAAAAATATAAATGGTATTTGTTGATTTTATGTGTGAGAGACGTGTTTAAAAGCACAAATCATCTCACCTGTTTTAGCTAAATCAGTTTGTGTTAAAACAAAGCTCAGATTAAAGTTAAAAACAGAGTTTTAGACAGAGCAGTGCCTACAGTTAGCGTCACACTTCCAGAGAATGATGATGACTCCAGCTGCAAAATATCAATATGACTTGTAAGCTCTAATTTGTTTAAAGAGATTTACAGTTGAGATATAATTTTTTTGGTTTTGTTTTTCCAGACCTGTTTACTGACATTGTGGTGTCTGCTCCCATGATCCTCCTGGAATCATCATCCAAAGTGATAGAAACATTTGACCAGCTTTCATATTTACCTTTGGCGACAGTGCAGGGTCTTCTGAAAGCTGTTCAGGTCCGTTGATCACACTGTATGATTATTTAGCATGTCCAGTGAAGAATTATATGGTTTATTTGCTCATTTTCATTTCTAGCCGTTGCTCAAAGTCAGTATGTCCCTGAAAGATGCTCTGATTTTGGTTCTTCGCAAATCAATGTTTTCCAGGTGAGTATTGCTGTAGATGTCTTAAAATCTGTTATTAATTAAAGGGCCCATCTTAAGCTACTTTCTGATCTATATTATAATGTTTTTTCTTTATCAAAAACATCCCCGGAGTTATGTTTGTTTCATTCACACACGCTTAACACACAAAACTCCATGCATGTTTTGAGGAGGTAACAATGTTATAACATGGCTTAAAGCTCACAAGAGTAAATTTTGTGTAACATAGAACCTTTTAATTCATTTGAAACATTTAATACATCTAATCTCTAATTTTCTTGCAGTCAACTCGATGGCAGGAAGTCTGCAGTTACAGGTTTCCTTCTGTTACTGAAGAACTTTAAAGTGTTGGGCAGTTTGGCCTCAAGTCAGTCCAGCCAATGTATCTCATCCAGTCAGGTACAGTGAGATTATGTCTCTGGAAATGTGCTTTTGTATTAAATGTTTGTTTTGCTTTTCATTAATTGTGATTTTATTTAGTTAAAGGTGCACTGTGTAACTTTTCTGGAAAGGGTTCGCAACCTCTGTGTCTTCTTGTTAATGTTAAATTATGTCTCAAAAAATATGCTTTTATTGTTGTTTTATTAAATGTTTGTTTTGTTTTTCATTAAGTGTTTTTATTTAGTTAAAGGTACATTGTGTAACTTTTCTGGAGATGGTCCGCAACTTGTTTGTCTCCATGGAGAAGTTAATGCTTTGGTTTAAATTGTCTGTTCTGTTCTGTCTGTCTTGCATTTGTTCAACTACAGGTGCTATTTTTAACTAAAAAAATATCCTAAAAAACATAAATTCTTACTGCGAGTGGTGTCGCCTCTCCCCAAATCTAACCTGTAATTTGGCTGACAAGTTTCGTAAGTTTATGGGCATACTGTGGAACATTCCAAGCACATCTCCATGAAGACAAGCATGACAGATCCTCTACTGGGCAAGTTAGAGTGTACCTTTAAAAATAAATACCTATCTTTCTACACATAGGTCCAAGTGGATGTTCATTCTCGCTACAACTCTGCAGCCAATGAAGCGTTCTGTTTGGAGATCCTCAGCAGTCTGCGTCGCTGTCTGGGTCAACAGGCAGATGTGAGACTAATGCTCTATGAGGTAATTTTTATTTATTTAAAGGGCCCATATTACTCTATTTTCTGATCTATGTTATAATGTTGTTCAAAACATACTTGGAGTTTTGTTCAGTTTCAGTCACATGTTTGAGCAATCTTTTATTATAAGTCTGTGTCTTTAGCTATAACTCTCAAAATAGTTTGTTCCACCCTCATGTAGCAGTAGTTTTCAAGTTTATACTTATCTTTTACTTTGTGTTTAGTAAAGATTTGCTTTTCCAGGTCTAAAACTGTCCAAATGATTCTAGTGAAGATGTATGGGGTTTAAAAACACAGCGGTCCACTTACTGTATTACCACATGACATCACAAGGTGGTACAGAGTAAGGCTGTGCAGTTAATTGAATTTCGATCATGATTTTAGTAATTTCAGTCAAACTCATAATCAAGTTAAAACAATTAAAGCTTAAAAGTTTATTTTGGGATATTTTTATATAAGTAAGTATATTCACTTTATTTTTTAAATATAGAGATTGTACAACAGCTGAATATATAGTTTATTTTGGATACATTTATGTTTTTCTATGCCTTATTTCATGTTCATAGTGTTATATTTTATTATAATATATATTTTATTCATTTTATGTTTTATACAATCCAAAACTGCTCTAAGGTACACATTTTTAGCCTATATTTATTTTCAATTTATAAGTTTTGGGTTAGTTATCAATAACAAAATGTTGTTTTTTTTGAGAGAGAGAGAAATGCTGAATAAATGCTTTGTGCAACTAAAAAATAATAATAATCAATGATTTCAATATTGACCAAAATAATCATGATAATGATTTTTTTTTCCATAATCGAGCAACCCTAGAACAGAGTGTTTTCTGTTTGAGAGAAGAACTAAATATGCAGAATTTGTGTGTTAAACATGTGAGAATGAAACAAAACACAACTCCAGGTCTGTTTGTGATGAAGAAACAAAATTACAACATAGGTCAGAAAATAGTTTAATACAGGCCCCTTCAAAAAATGAGGAACAATACATCACATTCAAGTATTCATTAGTTTTACTTTAACCGTCACTTTTGTATTTTAGGGATTTTATGATGTGCTTCGGCGTAACTCTCAGCTGGCGAGCTCGATCATGCAGACCCTCTTATCACAAGTACATTCATTTTGTTTTTCATGTCATAATTATACTATATTATTCAACACTGATCAAAAACCTGTGTAATTCTCAGCTTAAGCGTTACTACGAACCTGAACAAGACCTTCTGCCTCCTGTTAAACTGGAGCCCTGCATCACTGCCCATGGAGATCAAGTCTTCCTACAAGAACCTCTGGTAAATGACAATATTTTCTGTAATATTTCTGATTTACAAAATAAATTAAGATAAACAGGTTGATTCATACATTGTATTTCTGAAGCCTGGTGCGTTGGAGAGAGCGCGTGTAATGCTCGTCAGAATCAAAAATAGAAAAACTCCCACTCTCTGCCTAACTTGCAAAAATCTACAGCTTTATTTACAGTGGTAGCAATGGTTTGACAGTTAGGTCTTCTTCATCAGGTAAATGTTTTGTGTGACACTGTGAAGCCATCTTAAATAAGTGTGGCTGGAGCGACACCCAACGGGAGCACCCAGAATACATCGTGAAAAAACATACATATCACATCACTTTTTGCAAGTTAGACTAAGTGAGTAAAAACGATACAAAAACGATCATTTCAATCAGGTTTCTGGTAGTATTGGGACATTCGGCTCTTTTATGGAATCCGAATCTTTTTAATCTGTTCATATCAAAGAGCCATTCAAAACACTGGCTCTTTTTATATATAAACAAATGTGAAAACTAATTTTAACAACAAACTAATCACAAAATGGTTTGTTTAAAATGGTTAAAAACTGACAGTGTTTACCCTTTGGAATTATACATGATCTAAATAAAATGTACTAAACTGAGGCCAAATGTGTTTTTAGTGCACAAAGCGCTCACATGTGTTGCCTGCTCTGCCTGTGTTGGTTCATTGTTAATCAATGGAAAAATTTATACAAATCAGAAAGAAAAAGATTTTGTTTGTTTTAAAAAATGAGATCCGGTTCCAGCCATTCATGGTAAAAGTGCATTGTGTAACTTTTCTAGTGGAGGGTCTGTCAAATGCTTTTCTCCATGGAGATGTTATTGCTTTGTCTGAAATGTTTCACAGTATGGTATTAAAGCTTTCTGTCTTCATGGAGACCAAACCAGATCAAGTTACAGGTCAGATCTGTGGAGAGGCAACCACGCTCACAGTCAGAAAGCCTGTTTTTCTAGGTATTTTTGAGCTGTAAAACCACCTGTAACTGAATAAATGTAAGTTAGAGCTGTTAATGTCATACTGTGGAACATTCCAAGCAGAGCAATGACATCTCCATAGAAACAAGCAGGTGACGGACCCCCAACCAAAAAGTTACGTAGTTCAGCTTTCAGGAACCGTTCAAAACATCACTAGTTTCTGTTTTGTTTTGTTTTTTCTCCATCCTAGGCGCATCTGCTGAGCTGCACCGTCCACTGTCTTTTGTGGCTCCAGAACATGCACAGAGCAGCTACTGGTGATGACAGCGATGAGGAGGAAGAGGAGGAGGAAGGGTATCAGTCCGAGCTGATGACTATCCTGGAGAGTTTGACAAGACGCATGATCAAGAGTGAGCTGGAGGACTTTGAGCTGGTATTGCATTTCAGTTTTTTTTTTGTTAAAGGGCCCATTTTACACTATTTTCTGATCTATGTTATAATGTTGTTTCCTCATCACAAACAAACCTGGAGTTGTGTTTGCTCATTCACTCCCAACACTCTGTTCCACCTTGTGATGTCATGTGGTAATACAGGAAGTGCTCCACTGTGTTTTTAAACTCCATTCGCCTTCACTACATAATTTCAGACCTGGACTTACCAATCTTTACTGAACTAAAGGTAAAAGGTTTTGCTGTTCACTTGAAAACTACCACTACATGACATCACAAGGTAGAACAGAGCATTTTGAGCTTTGAAGACGTAGACAGACAACTAGTAATAATGCAGGATTACGCAAACATGTGTGAATGAGACAAATCACTCCAGATATTTACATTAGGTTGCTTTATTTGTACCTGTAGGTAAATTTGTTTTGCAGATTTGAGAGGCTGGTTCCACATTTCACATTTCACTCATCCACAGTCTACACAAAAAACATGTATAAAAACACAATTACAAAATAATAAAGTATACATTAAGTGTTACAGTGCTCCAGTGATGAATGGCTTTGCTCCATCAGTAATTAAATTCATCCATCACACTTGGCCTTTTTTGATTTACATTCCAGTTATTACTTATTTTTCTATTTTATTTTGACTTGTACATTTACATTTATATAATTATGTCTTATTTGACATCTTTCTCTTGCTCTTTTTTGCTGCTTACTTTGAATTTATTATTACCATTTATATTTTAGTCTTTGTTATTATATTATATTGTGATGTATGAACTACTGTGTCCAAATAATTTTCCCTTGTGGCTCAATAAAGTTTAAGTCAAAGTCTGAGGTATGTTTTTGATGAGGTAACAGCATTCAAACATGGCTTAAAATGCACAAGAGTCAGTTTTGTGTAATATAAATGAGAGTTCTTGTTGTCATTTTTTACATTTGTTTCATTGGGCTGTTCTTTGCAGGACAAATCTGCAGAGTTTTCCATGGGGTCAAGTGTTGGAGTGAAGAATAACATCTATGCAGTTTTGGTGATGGGCGTGTACGAGGTCCTCATCGAGTACAACTTCAACAAGGCCAATTACAAGTTTGTCCAACCTTTTCTTTTACAGTATTCCTCGTGCTGCTGATACTTTGCAGCTGAGGTCATCAACAATCCCTGGGGATGTGATGCTAACTGTAGGCACTGCTCTGTCTGGGGCTTGTTAGACTTAAGTTTGAGCTTTACTTTAACACAATCTGAGAATAAAGAACTGATTTATCTGGAACTACAACAGATGAGCTGATTTTGTGCTGTTAAACTAGTCCCTCTCAAATACCATTACAGTTGCTACCAATGGGTTTTTCAGATGCTCTAAACTTTTTTTTGTTGAAAATGAAACACCTAAACAGGACCATGAACGCTTGTATTGGTCACAGGCTCCTGAAAATGTGTCATGTAAACCCATTTTGTATTTTATTTTTGAGTTTTCAGATAATCTAAACTTTTTTTGCAGTGTTTACTAATGTGTGCATAGTGTCACCATGGTAACTGCTAAACATTTCATCAGCTACAGATGCATGTACAGTAGAACACCCCCAGCACGATGTCACTGCAAAGTATCAATAGTTCAAATTTTGTTTGCATGGATAGATCCTTATTTCCTAATTATGTTTTTTTCTAATCTTGCAGTAAAGAATGCTTTGAAGGAATTATAGAGTTATTTAATCGTTATCACAAGATCGCTGAGATTCTGAAGGAGAAAGCTGGAAAAGGCAAAGTGCCCTCCAACAAGACACCCCGAAGTCTGCTGTCAATGGGTTATATTTCTACTATTCTTCCGGCACTTTTCAGGTGAGCACAGTATAGAGGTCCTATATTGCACAAAGTGGATTCTAATGAGTTTTTAGCCATGTTAGAATGTTGTTACTTCCTTAAAAACATACCTGAATTTGTGTTTTGTTTCATTCACACATGTTTGAGTGACACTTTATTATTAGTCTTTTTTACATCTCCAAAGCTCAAAATGCTCTTTTCCATCTTGAGACGCGATAGTTTTCAAGTTATCAGCTACCTTTTATCTTTAGTTTAATGGAGATCGGCAATTCTAGGGCCGAAATTATCCAAATGATTCTCGTGAAGGTGTATGAACTTTTTAAACAAAGTGGAGCACTTCCTGTATTACCACAGTGTTTTGTGTTTGAGAGAAGAACTCAGCCTAAATGTGCAATGGTTATGTGTTAAACATGTATGAATGAAACAAAACACAACTCCAGGTGTGTTTGTTATGAGAAAACAACATTATAACATTATAACATTATAGATCAGAAAACGGTGTAATACGGGTTCTTTAATATTGTAAAATGCACATTTACACAACTACATTTAATTAGTTTTTTTGTTAATAATATTCCAAATGCAGAGACAGCACTCAGAGCAGAGAGGAAGCACTCTCCGTTCTGCGAGCCAATGGAGAATTTGTACGATATTCACTGAGTGTGGCGATACAGAAAATCCAGCAGCTGGAGGAGACGGGACACACAGACGGCCCTGATGGAATGAATACAGACAAAATCTTCAGATTCCTGTGTGACATGACCAGGTGAGCTCTTTGATGAAAGAACTCAGGAATATCTCTACTTTTGGGTCCTGAGGCAGTATACACTCCTGTAGCTTTGACTCTGGAGGGAAGACAACATAAATTTTGTTTCATTCACACATGTTTGAGTAATCTTAGATTATTTGTTTGTAAAGCTCAGAATGCTCTTTTCCATTTTATAATGTCACGAAGTGGTAGTTTTCAAGTTAACAGCAACCTTTTACCTTTTCTTTAGTAGAGATTGGCAGTTGAAGGGCTGAAATTTTCCAAATGATTTCAGTAAAGGTATACGCAGTTTAAAAGCACAATGGAGCACTTCATGTATTACCACGTGACATCACTTGATTCAAGAGAGTGTTTCAATTTGAGGGGAAAACTCAGCCTAAATATGCAGGGTCTGTGTGTTAACCATGTGTGAATGAAACAAAACACAACTCCAGGTCTGTTTTGATGGGGAAACAACATTATAACATAGATCAGGGGGACCTTTAAGCAGAGGTGGGGACTTGCAAGTCATGACTTGGACTTTAGTCAGACTTGAGTCACTATTTTTTAGAACTTGAGACTTGACTTGAAAAAATGGACTAAGACCTGAGACTTGACTTGGACTTGAAGATCAGTGACTTGGGACTTGACTCTGACTTGAGGCCTGTGACTTGAGAAGACTTGAGAGACACTTTTAAATCTGAATTCTTTCTATTCCGATCGTAATGATTCACACTAAGATTTTGTCAAGACATTTAAAAAGGAAAAGAATTGCATTTCTACAACTCTTATATAAATACTCATATATAAATATACCATGGCTTTTTAAGTTCAATTTTGTTTAAAATTCATATAAATTGCAAAAAGCTAAGCTATATTTGGTACTTTAGTTTAAAAACTTATATGATATGACCTGAAGCTCAAAGCAGATGACTTGGACTTCACTGGGTCTTATGGGCCAGTGACTTGAGACTCAACCTGGGACTTGCCTGTATTTGACTTGGGACTTGACTTGGACTTGAGGTCAAACACTTGAGACTTACTTGAGACTTGCAAAACAACAGCTTGGTCCCACCTCTGCCTTTAACACTCCTCATATGATGTTAAACAAAGAAGAAGAAAAACATTTATATTTTTAAACCATGTCTTTGGATTTATATTGAATTGTGTATGTGTATATATATATATATATATATATATATATATATATATATATATATATATATATATATATATATATATATATATATATATATATATATATATTATATGAATTGTATAGTATTTATTTTTATTCATGTGTCTGTGTCCTGATAGTGTCCTGATGTGGCGTTACACCAACATCCCCAGTGTGGTGGAGGACGCAGGTAAAAAGGAGAAGAGGACCACTTTGTCTCTGTTGTGTCTGGAGGGTCTGCTCAGGATCTTCACCACGTGTCAGCAGCGTTTCCCAGAGCGACTGGCTCAGCTCCTCTCGACCATGGGTGGGTTTGACTGTCAAATCAGTTTACATTTGTACCAATCAGTCCCTTCTACTTTCTTTTCAAATCCAGAAGGGACTAGAATCTGACCATAGAGTGTGAAAATCCTCTGTCCAAACTTGAAACAGTCCAACTACAGCTACTAATTTATATCACGTGTCTATCAAATGCAAAAAAAACAACTCTCCTCTTGAAAATTCTCGTAACATTCAGATAAGTAATAGTTTGGTGCTTCGATTGTTGATTCTGTTTTTGACACGAATGGCGCATGTGTCTCTCTGATTGGTTAATCCGCTTGTCAATCATGCCCTCTGAAATCAGGGAGACAGGATACAGCTCCAGATCCACACGTCTTTATAAAGTTTTTTCAAAGCGTGTGGTTCTGGCGGATCAGATAAGAAAACAGCATCACAGTTGTGTTTTATTTCTTTTCTTAGAGTCTGAGGATGACCTGGATGAAGGCAACGTCACTCAGATGAACTTCTTTTACATCCGTCAGTTTCAGGTGTGTTTAATTCACAATTTAATCAAACAATTCCGTTACATGATTTTTATTGCAAATAACTTTGTGAATTACATCTTACCACTAGAGGGTACTGTTTGCCCAGCTCAGCAGTGAACAGGACGAATTCAACAGCAAAGAGGCTCAGTTGCTCATCAGCATTTTGAGTGTGCTTTCCCGACAGCTCAAACCGTCGTCCCAGGAGGTTAAACAGATATTATACTGTTTATATACATTTATTTATAAGTTCCTATAAAAATGCATATCCATAATCTGACATTTGTATTAATTTTACAGTTTGTTCAGATGGTCACATGGACTGTAAAAGTCTGCAAGGAGACATGTTTTGGTAGGTGAAGAAAAATCTTGTATTGTCATCAGCGTTCCCTGGTAGTGTGATGCTAACTGAAAGCACTACTCTATCTGAAGAGTTGTTACTCAAATTAGACTTTAATCTGATCTTTGTTTTAACACAATCTGACCATAAAGAACTGAATAAACTGGAACTACAACAGGTGAGAAGAGTTGTGCTGTTAAACAAATCTCTCTCAAATAACTTTACACTGAAACCGGACCGTGAACGCTCATATTGATCCCAGGCTCCTGAACATGTGCTGTTAAAATCCATTTAGTTTTTTTTTCTTGAGTTTTGAGACAATATTAGAACCTTTTTGGGTAATTATACCCATAACACATAACATAACACATTTTAAGCTTGATATATCGCTACAGAGAAATATTGCAGTAAACAACAATATTGAAACTACTTTATGTTACTGACACAAAGTATGATAATGCCAGTAAACTGATTTTTAAATAAAGAGTATTATTAAAAAGCCCTGAGCTGCAACAAATAAACAGTAGAATGAACCGATAATTAGCCATAGAAGATCATTATTCTACCTTCTACAGCTCAAATCTTACCTTATTACATCAAGATGGCAAAAATCTCACCATTATTACTAAGAAATTGTACATGCAATAAATACTGAGTCCCAAAATAGACTGTTCCAGCTTTCAGATTTGTGAATGATGAGTCAGTGTAGTAATTATAGTGTTGTGTAGGTCATTCACGAGATCTTTTTCTTTAGAGGATTGTCCGCTTGCCAAAGGACTGCTCTCTCTTCTCTTCAGTCTTCACGTTCTCTACAAAAGCCCCGTTAGTGTTTTATTGGAACTCTGCCAAGACATCCACAGCCAACTTGGAGACATCGATCAGGTTTGTTGTTTTACTGTAATTTACACGGCAAAAACTAAAGTTACTAGTTAAAACTACTTGAATTAAGAAAATGTGACCTTAATTTGAGTAAATTTATCTGCTATTGAAACAAGACTTTTTGCACTTAAAATATGAAATTACATCTTGCTATGCAAATGATAAGAAAAATAAATAAATTTGGCGCGTAAAATAAGAAAGTGAATCTTATTTTGCTTGAATTGAGAAAAAATAACTTGGCATTAGTAGATAATTTTACTTGTCAAGTCAAATCTACTGAAATCAAGTTAAATTTTATTAATTTTATTAATTTGAAGTTACGTAGATATTACTTTTTGCAGTGTAAGAAAGGTGAAATTATGTTTTTATTAAATTTTACACTTGTTTAAACCCTTAAATTAGGATGTGGAGGTCGAAAATCAGTCGCACTTTGTCATTGTCAACTTAAAGACGGCTTCAACTGTGGCGGTAAGTTTTCTATCATTTGTAAGTATTTGAGTTAAACTAAAACAACTGGACTTACTTCCCCTTGAGTTTAGAACATTTGAATGTCTTAGCACCTTTTAAAACCAACTTTAAAACATTTTTGTTCCAGCAAGCATTTGGTTGATCATATCCTATATCATTTTGGTAAATATTTCATTGTTTTACTGTACTTATTGAATTACCATAAACATATTTTTTGTTTTATCATGGGATGGGGGTGGGGGCTGTATATTGTTGGCACTGTAAATCACTTTGTAACTGTTGTTTTAAAAAGTGCTATACAAATAAAATTACATTATTATTGTTTACAGTGTGTACAAAAGCTAAGCACACACTTACCTGTACAGCATTTCGATCACCTGTGGTTGTTTAAAATGTGCTTTATAAATCAATTTGACATTAACATAAGTACATCCAGTTGTTTTAGTTTAACTCCATAATATCCTATCCCTGAAGGTCTCATAATGTGCATCAGTTATTTGAGTACTGTAATCATCAGTCATTGTAATTCACAGATGCTCGTGTTGTCTCAAGTTGAGCGAGTGCTGGATGAAGTGGACTGGCTTATTGCTAAAAGGAAAACCCAAACCACCACTGAGAAAACGGGGAATGGTAAGAGACGTCTTGTGTCAATCGAATACAAAAGATACAATTCAGCCTGGAAAGACTCAGACGGATACAAAGAAAAAAATATTAGTAGTTTTATTTAGTTAGATGGTGTTTAGGAGAGGTCTTTCCCTGGGGCCTGGCTCTGGAGGTGGTAGAAGTGAGGATGAGGAGTGTGAAGGGGACGATTAGATGATGAGAAGCCGGTGAGGTAGATGGGAGTGAGGTTAGGTTTTCTAGGTTGAATTTACACCAGCTCCATTTGTGTGGAGAGTTGGGCTGGGTATCATTCAGAAGTGGCCGATACGATACATACCTCGCTCAATACAGTGAGCTTCCGATTCAATATGATTGAATATGATATTTTTCAAATCGATTTGACGCGGTTCAATACAAAATAAAGGCCAAATCTTTTGTTAAACCACTTTTCATGCAAAGTTCATATGAAACACAAACATTTTAATCATCAAAACAGTGAATATGTCAAATGTGTTGCATAAATGAGGGTCCTTCATCTAAACAAGCAACAAAACTGTAGCGCTACAACAAAATAATTTAGTAAAATATACCAAAATATACTCTTGCCGATATATCGATACAGCAACCCACTATATTCATCACATTAAATGATACGATATATCAGTGTTTCAGTATTTTTGCACACCCCTAGTGGATAATCATCGCTTGGATACTTACTCGTTTGTAGGTGAATCCACTGAGAACACAGGACACCAAGATCCAATTGAAAAAAATGTGACTTTGCAACTTGGGACACTGCTGACTGCCCTGAATGAGCTGGTCCAGACTTCCCTCCCTCCTGGAACCTGCACCATTACTTTGTTAAGAGCCATGAGCCAAACATACACCATCCTCACAACCCTGGTTAAATATGTGAGTTTGTATCGACTCTTTCACTCATGATTGCTTAGTTTAACGATGCATAGTATAATTTTTCTTGTGGAGGGTCGGTCAAATGCTTTTCTTCATGGAGATGTTATTGCTTTGTCTGGAATGTTTCACAGTATGGTATAAAACCTTTCTATCTTCGTGGAGACCAAACCAGACCAAGTTACCAGTTTTTCTATGTATTTTTGAGCTATAAAACCACCTATAATTGAATAAATATAAGGCAGAGCTATTTAATGTCATACTGTGGAACATTCCAGGCAGAGCAATGATATATCCAAAGAAATGAGCAAGTGATGGACCCTCAACCAGAAAAGTTACGCAATGCACCTTTAACCTTTTTCCTTTTTGTTTTAGTACATCCAAGTCTGTTCAAATCATGGGACACTGCCGTCACGGTTTGAGAAGTTGGTAAGTGTAAATCACCTTTTAGTGTTTACATAGTAGGAAATCAGATACTAATCGACAGAGGTGGGACCAAGTCTTTGTTTTGCAAGTCTCAAGTAAGTCTCAAGTCTTGGACCTCAAGTACGAATCAAGTCCCAAGTCAAATACAGGCAAGTCCAAGTTGAGTCTTGAGTCACTGGCTCATAAGTCCAAGTCAAGGTCAAGTCGTCTGCTTTGAGCTTCAAGTCATTTCAAGTCTTTAAATCAAAGTACCAATTATATGAATAAATTCAATATATTTATATGAATTTTAAACTAAACTGTACTTAAAAAGTCAAGGTATACGAGTATTTATATAAGAGTTGTAGAAATGCTAATTTTTCCTTTTTAAATGTCTTGACAAAATTGTAAATGATTACAGTCAGAACAGAAAGAGTTAAGATTTAAGAGTGCTTAATCACGGTTCATTTGTCAACTAGTCTAAGCATCAAGTCACAAGGCTCAAGTCCGAGGCAAGTCCCAAGTCACTGACCTTCAAGTCCAAGTCGAGCCCCAAGTCTTAGTCCATTTTATCAAGTCAAGTCTCAAGTACAAAAAATTGTGACTCAAGTCTGATTCGAGTCCAAGTCACGACTTGCAAGTCCCCAACACTGCTAATCGATAAAACTAATATCAAAACCAGTTACTTGTTTGAGCCGGTATCGATACTAAAAAGTCACATTTATAGGACAGAGATTAACCTTTAGAATGATCTTGAGCTCGTGGACCACTGAGGGATTACACAGATATAAATCCACATGGGAATAGAAAAGACAGTACTATTATTTAAAGGTGCTTTGTGTAACTTTTCTGGAGGGTACGTGAAATGGTTTTCTGCACAGAGATGTTATTGCTTTGTCTGGAATGTTCCACAGTATGGCATTAACCAGCTCTACCTGAACTCAACTGAGCGTGGTTGCCTCTGTACAGATCTGACCTGTTTCTTGGTCTGCTTTGGTTTGATTAAGATGGAAAGAGTTCATGCCATACTGTGAAACATTCCAGCAATAACATCTCCATGGAGACAGACATTTGATAGACTTTCCAGAATAGTTACACAGTGCACCTTTAATGTTGAAAATCACATTCTCTTGTTTAAATAAAGAGTGTTTTTTATTATCATGGTATCAGAATCGGTATCGAGAATCAAGTCTGTTCCTGTTTTAGTTTTGTGACAACCTTTTGTACAATGTGTTAATTTTTTGCTCTTCCTGCAGGTGAAACTCTCTGGCTCCCACCTGACCCCACAGTGTTACAATTTCATTACATATGCACAGGTTCAGTCATGTTCAGAAGTTTTTTTGTTTTTTTTTTATTAAATATTTACAAAGGCTTTACATCCAACATCACATAAATTTACATTCCCTTTTCAGAGCGGTGAAACCAATGGTGGTGGTGCAGATGACAAGAAGAAAAAGAAAAGGATTGAAACTAATACGGCCGCTTCTGTAAGGCAATATCAAAATGAAAAAAATACACTGACCTAATTAACACTATAAAAACTCAATTCCTATTGTCATTGCAGGCCAAGCTTCTGCGTGAGACAAAGACCATTCCTGATTTGATCTTTAGCATTGAACAGTATGAGAAGTACCTGATCACACTGTCTAAAAAGTCAAAGGTAGGATCAGACTGGACAAACCAATTAAAGAACACTTCTTTAATTCTACTGCTTCTGTTATAATGTTGTTTCCTCATCACAAATGGACCTGGAGTTGTGCTTTTGTTTCATTCACACAGAGACACTACATTTTTAGAGTTCTTCTCTCAAACAGAAAACGCACTTTTCTGATTTGACTTCTATCTGAACTTATGTGAATCCAGGTGAACTTGATGCAATATATGAAACAAAGCACATCCAGAGATTTCCGCATCAACGCAGCAACTTTGGAAGCAGCTCTTCAAGATCAGGATGGCAGTCAGCAGGTACGCACCAGGCCCTCACATGTTTTAACTAAAATATTTAAAGGTGCACTGTGTAACTTTCAGGTGGAACATTCCAGGCAAATAATAATATTCCATGGAGGGAAGTGAGTGGTCCTGCCCTCCACCAGCAAAGTTACACAGTGCACCTTTAAAACAATTCACCCGTTTGTAACAATTTGAGCTTTCTAAACCTCCTTGCTCCTTTTGTTAGACCACAGCATCGCAAGAAGATGAGGAGGAGCCACAGGAGCCCAAGGAGAAGAAGAAGAGGAGAAGATGAGCAACACCACCCTCTAGTGGATTCCTGCTTGAACGTCTCACTGGCCTCACATTTCACCAGTTTCAATTAAGTCTGTTTATTTAAGCTCATTTGCCTTTTGCCAGAGAGCCTTTTGTTACTTCAATGATTTCATAGATGTCCACAGCTTCTCCTGTTCAACACAATTTGTCACAGCTATTGTTAAATGTTTACTTTGTTTCATTAAATAAATGTTATATAAATATCAGTAATTGAGTGTAATCTATTTAAAGATAAAGCATGAGTGGACTCACCTTGTGGCAGGTTGTATCTTCGTTCTAGACCTGTGGGGTTGGACGGAGTCACACAGTCCATGGTGACCTCTTTTCTCAAACACTGGTCGATGTCCACTGCACTGAAGAAGGCCACAGACTGGGGCAGGTCCTGCATGCCCAGTGCATGAGCAAAGATGCTTCTAAATGTCAAATATATCATAGTTAGACACTATTATTCAGTTAAACCAGGGGTGTCCAAACTATGGCCCTAAATGTGGCCCTCAGACTGTTTTCTGTTGGCCCTCAAGTTTCCTCCTGGATTTGCCCAAAGGATCAAAGACGTTACTTTATAAGTACAAATTCAAGTATTTCTAGAAATATAACCTCAGCATCAAGTTGTATTTTGATATGTACCTAAAATTAGTGTTCCAAGCTTCTTTATATGTATGGTAACTCTGTCAAATCTATGTAAAATGTGCCCATCTGAAAACTTGCTGTATTGAACACCGTTTCGCGGCCATCCTATTAAAATGTTTCCATATGTGGCCCTCTGTGACAAAGCTTTGGGCACCCCTGAGTCCAACTGGTCTTACTGAACTTAGTCCAGTTGGTTTAGTTTAACTCGTTGATAATATCTTAGTCCTGAAAGTCTCAAAATGTGCATCAATTCATAGTTAGACACTGGAGATAAAGCACTATAAATAAAATCAAACCAAACCTTGTGAGGAGGTTGGTGATTTGAAGAGCCAGTGCTGCTCGATAACGATCTTCACTGTTCACCAGGTAACGTACTTCGTCATGAATACTGATACAAAATCGACCATCGATGTCGTGTTCCTCAAAGAGCCACTTCATGGCTACGAGCATCAGGTGAAGATA